CATAAAAATTCATGATCAAATTTTAAAACTAAAATGTATGAAGTTTTTCTGTGCCAAATGATAGTTAACAGCTAAAGATAGCTTATCTATAGAATAAGTTAAATATGGCTAATTTGTTAACCCCCAGTTTCCTTAATAGCATAGTTGGTAAAGATAGCAAGTTTTCACTTCAATTGCTGGTGAATTCTGAATTTTCCATTTAATATTAACATTATATCACAGGGAAAGAATACTATAATGTGGTTCATTAGGATGACCAGAAAAGAAATCTTAATGACCCTTATGACTATGTATAAAGTCTGTAACCTTATAACTGATGTAAGATGACCTGATTGTTTGGAATTAAAATTTCCTGGTGTTTCTATTACCCAAGATCTTCTTATGAGTGCATGGGACTGTTGTAACCCTTCTCCTGTTTATAAAAATAATACCTTGGAGCATGACACTTTATTCATTTAAGGTACTTTCAATATCATTTCTATGAGTTTGTGTTCTTTTTCTTTTTAATAATCTAGTGTTATATCTTCTTTACCCTAATTAATATGCATGCTTCCAAAATCATTATAGATCTGTCTGTATAGTTTTTTCAGCTCTTTGAACACAAATACCCTGATTCAAACTTTTGAGGTAAACATCATGGAGACATCATAAATGATTATCAGAGTGTATATATCACAATCTTGACCATAAGGTCAATTAAAATGGTCAAAAGCACAACAAATGAAAGTGAAAACTTTCTTATCAGAATACATAATTTTGTAATATTAATTCTTACCTTCTTTTGGTAATAAATGGTAATATTCTTCATTAGCCTCTTCTGCAATCAAGGATCTTTCTATGTAATCTCTGACAACATTAGGATCACCCTTTTCTGGACATAATTGGTTATATTCTTCTTGAGAAATGATCTCAATAATGCTATCTTTTTTTTATTTTAACTGGTATACCTCTGTCTACATCTTTCTCTGACAGAGCTCTTTTCTTCAAACTGAATTTTACTCATTCCTTTACTCTTTTCTTTACTGGAGGTGTTACCCATGGTTAATATGAAAAGTCAAAATCTGATGTTACACCTTGTATTTATACCCTTTTTTGTCTATATTTAGAATTCCATCAAGCTTATATTACATAACAAATTTTTTTTTTTCAACTAAGACATTATTTTTATTTTCCAGGATATTCTAGTGAGGGCTTATGGAAATGATCTATGTCTACTCTCAGAATGGTGAAAGACTATCAGATTATGCAAAGACTAACAGGATATCCTCTCTTGGAACACTGAAATAAGAAAATCAAACAGGAGGTGGATGGAGGATTTAAAAACACAGGTGAAAAACTTCAAAATTATGCAAAGACTAACAGAATATCCTCTCTTAAAACACTGAAACAAGAAAATCAAACAGGATGGAGGATTTAAGAAGCACATACCGTAATTGGGGGGAGTATAATACGCACTTTTTTTCTAAAATAAATTTCTGTGAGAAAGGTATCCGTATTATCATCACAATGGGATTTGACCAGGTTTTTTTTCGTCCAGGTGAAACTGCAGGATAAGTATGAACCACAGACATAGCCTATATATAGATCGCTTTATTGCTGCTTACCATTATATTTAACCCTTAGGAAATTATTGTTGGGTCGTATGATTGTAGAAATTGATGCATATCTAAAGTATTTATAGATAAATTATTTTAAAATAACCAGTTAAAATGTATTTGAGCTGTCTATTCATCATCTCTCCGTGTCTGCCGCCATTATGCCGCCATTACAGCTGTTTTTAATAGAGGTGTACATGATCCGGGCCTTAGCCACATTTTCGTAATCAACCTAATCAATCATTAATTTCAATGGATAGAATAATATATAATCGCTTGTAATAAAATACATTACCAATTTATTTTAATAAATCTTTAGATTCATTTCACCTGAATTTACACTTTTATCTAGCTTGCTCCACCTCTAGCTTTCCATGTTTACGTAACAATTAAAGTTTATTGTTGTAGACACCTGTGCTTTGACCTCGATGATTATGACATCCCCTAGGGCGTAAACAGCTTGTAAAGAAATCAAAATTTTTTTTTCAATCATTTTATTAAGTTAAAACAAATCATAACGAGCATCAGAGACATGAATATATATATAAATGTATGTGGGACAAAAAAGACATTGTAATTTTTTAAAAAATTTTATTTTCACACGCACTGATAATAATTTATCAATAATAGGGGTTTTTTTTTTTTGAAAGCATTAATATACATAGATGTTTCTATGTTCACACATAAAATTTCGTTTTTTCACTTCACTTTCAAATATTTTTGACATAAAGACAAAAAATAAAGACATGACTGTACAACAACATGCAAGTTAAACAATAAAATTTAAAAAAAATAATAACTAAGTTTTTCCTTTTCAACACATACTTTTTAAGCACCGTTTAAAAGCACTGATCAATGTTCACCACAAGTCACAGTCACTTAGAATCCCTCAAATTCCTCGTCCCGTCGTCACTCTCGAATATCTTGTAAATGTCTCTGAGTACGGAAAGGGGGGTGAAACCCATATTTATCGTCGTCGTACACGATGTCGTTGGGGGTCGGATCCCCTACATCACACTCATCAGCTGATCTGCATGGAACATCTTCCCAAAGAATATCGTCCTCGGCCCCCTCTAAGGCGTTGGAAATGCAGACTTCTTAAAAGGGAAAGGACGATGATCTGTGGATCGAGTTCATCCCACGCTTCTTTGATCCATGCACAGATGGTGTTCAGCTCGGGTTTTCGCATGCGCCCCTGGTTGGTGTACGTTTTGTTCGTCGCTGCACATCCACGAATTCCACTTATGTCGCAAAGCAACTTTCATGGGTTTATTTACACTAACGTCCAGTGGTTGTAACACACTCGTCATACCTCCAGGTATGATCGCAAGGTCCGTCTGATGTGAATCTCTCAACACAGTCTTCACTGCTGGGGAGCGATGGCACCGGAAAGCGTCCAACACTAAGACACTACGGTTAACACAAGCACCTGGTCGTCGACCCCACACTCTCTCGATCCAGTCCTTGGTAATGTCATCGTCGAACCAGCCGTTTGGATGCACATTCACAATAATTCCCTTGGGAAACTGCAGTTTAGGCATAGTTTTTCTTTTAAACACTACATAGGGCGGCAGCTTTCCTCCGTCGGGGAGTGCAAGCTAACATGACGGTGAATTGTTCTTCTCGTTGCCGGTTGTCTTGATGGACACGGTTGATGCGCCTTTAGGATGGATGGTGGTGTCGGCAGGAAGATAAAGGTCAATGGCGTTTGATAGCGTTGCCGATCTGGGACATGCGGGATTTATGTTTTTTCCTCATCTTGATCATGAAGCTCTGGAAGCTGGACAGCTTGTCTTCATAATCGTCAGGCAGTCTCTGGGAAATGTGTGTCCTCCGTCTTATGGATAACTTATGTCTCTTGAGAAACGCATAGCACCAATCCACCGATGCTTTGAAGTCTTGAGCTTTCGGATCTTTCTTGGGAATCTTTAGTGCTTGTAGGCGAATTTTGGCTGTCGACACACCATACCCCTGTTGTCTGCGATCAGTAACCCACGTGAGTAGTTCAGTCTCTACGGTAGGGAAAAAAGCTGTGCGGCCTCTGTCTGCCATCTTGGACTTCGGTAGCTGATGCAGTCTGTCCTTCTGTCGTCGCCAGAGTCGCACGTTTGCCTCGTTGATGGAAAACCCCTCCCGCTGCACGGTTTCCATGGGCCTGGCGTACGCGATAACTTTTTAAATTTTCCTTCGCAGTAAACGACTGTCGTACTTTACCCATCTTTATGCAGTGGAAATTCTTAGGGCAATGATTCAATTTTTTATTTCCCTACTGTTACAAATTTTCCCCCCTGACCAAAATAACCCACAGATTGGATCACTCCAATTTATGCCATGTATATTTAATCCATATACTAAAGGCATACATCGTAAATTTATTTGTAGATATCATGGGAATATTACCAATCATCGTATGTCATTAATGTATGCTTTATAATTCATTGTATATGTTTATTTCATGGATATCCTTTCGTTGTAATGTACAAACCCGAATTTCCTCCATATACCAGCCCAATCGTAGTAGCAAATGGCCGTCTGGCATTGTTATTCAATCAAGGTACCCAAATCCATCTTGGCATCGTTACCAAAACAATTCCCAAACATCAGATCATCCCTTTTCCCGCATTTGTAATGATAAAGCCTTCACTTGATGCAAAAGTTGTTTGTGTTACCATACAAACGTCGCGCGAATACTGGCGGTACCGCTGGTTATTCGCACGTGAACTAATTCGGCCCTAGTGATGAAAAGGTATATAAAGAAGTCACTTTGGACTTTTTCTTCAGTCTGGGACGTTGGTCAGACTCATCAACATCTGACCAGCTCTAAGAATCCCAACTCCCCAGAAGTGGGTAAAATCTGATGCCCCTTATTGGGTAAATTAACCCATTACCAATATTTGGTAACCGCCCGGCAGATCCATACCCATTTGATTTGTAACCCAATCTGCCAGGCCCGGCAGATCCGTGCCCAATCCAATCTGCCAATCCCTGGCAGATCCATACCCAACTGATTCATTGATGCCAATCCCGGCAGATCCATACCCAATTGATTCATTGTTTATAAATTCATCCGGGTAACCTGGTAGAGCCGGATACCCTTTTATTGCCAGGTAACCCATAATTTATTATTGCCTAATTGCCAATTATCTTATTGTTATTTGTTATTCATTGTTTGCACCATAATAAATTTTATAAATTTGCAACCTGACTTTTCATTTAGAGTTAAAGGGTAAAATTCAGAAACAGGAGACCCACAATAATTCATTTTCATTGTAACAAACCCTGGAACAGGCGGAAACGTTACAATTTGGTGTCAGAAGTGGGATATTTTATATCTTGTTTTTGTTTACCCCGGAAAAAAACAAAACCATTTCTTGATATTTTTGTAAATTTTTATTACTCCAAATTTTACTTTTGGATACAAATTTTTGTACAATGGAGGCTGATGAAAGCTTTGAAATTACTTTTAAACCACACCCGGTTTCACCCAAAGTTCATGTAAATTCTCATGACCACCCGGATGTCCCAAGTCACAATTCCTTGCCGGCATCAAATTCAATGCTACATGTACCTACAAGAGATAATCAACTTGATGTTATTCTCTCAATGTTACATGATATGAAATCAAAATTTGAACAAGATAGTCATGAAATGAGAATGAAATTTCAGCATGTTGAAAAACAAAATGAAATCTTGCAAAGAGATAATGCTGAACTTAGAAAGTTATATAATGACAGGGGAGACAATCATCACAGTCCCAGTTCCCCGTCACATACAACCCAATCCCGAACCAACAATGAAAAATTACAAAATGGTGTTGGAAAATCATATGTACCATACCCATCACTTAACCCAGACATGATGATCCCTAGTTCATACCTTGCCGTGAGGAAGCCTTCCAAACCGTATGATGTACTTCCGGACATTGATCCTGGACATTTCCCAATGTCACTGGATTCGTAATAAATGGACCGTACGTGCACTAGATCTTTTGGATATTTCAAAGGACTATATCGTATAACTTTGTGAACTTTATGATAATTGTGAATATTCGTGATGTGGATCGAGATCTGTGATTTGTATCCGTCGTGACTTTTCTATTCCAATGGATCCAGGATTGGTAAGAAGTGATGAACTGTGATGAACAAAAACATTTTGGTAAAACTTAATGTGTTGATAATTGATGAACTGTTAATCATATTATTATTATTCATAACTTTGATTATAACTTGTTGACCACATTGTAATTATTGATATTTATGCATTATTGTGGCCCATGATTATGTTTATTGCAAATGTTACTCTCCATGACAATATTCCCATGAAATATGGTCCAAAAATGAGATTTGATAAAACAATCCACATTCGGGACGATGTTTTCATGGAGGGGAGCTCTGTTACGAATTTTCCCCCATGACCAAAATAACCCACAGATTGGATCACTCCAATTTATGCCCTGAATATTTAATCTATGTATCGTAAATTTATTTGTAGATATCATGGGAATATTACCAATCATCGTATGTCATTAATGTATGCTTTATAATTCATTGTATATGTTTATTTCATGGATATCCTTTCGTTGTAATGTACAAACCCGAATTTCCTCCATATACCAGCCCAATCGTAAAAGCAAATGGCCGTCTGGCATTGTTATTCAATCAAAGGTACCCAAATCCATCTTGGCATCGTTACCAAAACAATTCCCAAACATCAGATCATCCCTTTTCCCGCATTTGTAATGATAAAGCCTTCACTTGATGCAAAAGTTGTTTGTGTTACCATACAAACGTCGCGCGAATACTGGCGGTACCGCTGGTTATTCGCACGTGAACTAATTCGGCCCTAGTGATGAAAAGGTATATAAAGAAGGCTCCTTGGACTTTTTCTTCAGTCTGGGATGTTGGTCAGACTCATCAACATCTGACCAGCTCTAAGAATCCCAACTCCCCAGAAGTGGGTAAAATCTGATGCCCCTTATTGGGTAAATTAACCCATTACCAATATTTGGTAACCGCCCGGCAGATCCATACCCAATTGATTTGTAACCCAATCTGCCAAGCCCGGCAGATCCGTGCCCAATCCAATCTGCCAATCCCCGGCAGATCCGTACCCAACTGATTCATTATGCCAATCCCGGCAGATCCATACCCAATTGATTCATTGTTTATAAATTCATCCGGGTAACCCGGTAGAGCCGGTATACCTTTTTATTGTCGGGTAACCCATAATTTATTATTGCCTAATTGCCAATTATCTTATTGTTATTTGTTATTCATTGTTTGCACCATAATAAATTTTATAAATTTGCAACCTGACTTTTCATTTAGAGTTAAAGGGTAAAATTCAGAACAGGAGACCCACAATAATTCATTTTCATTGTAACAAACCCTGGAACAGGCGGAAACGTTACACTACCAAAGAATTGTTTTTACAGACAGTAATTTATTTACTGCAGTAATTAAATGGCTTTGATCGGTATCATTTTTCTAATTAATGAGGGATCGATATCCCAGCTTTGTACATCGTTTTTCACAGCTTTGGAAGTGTGTTGATAACTACACCTTATACGCTTGTTAAATTAGGTTTTATTTTCATAACAACAGCTATTTATTTAATTAATTTCAAGTTCAAACGAGGAAAATCGTAGTCTATTACTACTTTGATGTTGCCATATCGGGCACGCAGTTCAATTAACATAATTTTCACCATGATTACCTACAAACTAAAATAATTATAACAACTTGTAAAACTTGCAACAATATCTCGTGCTTTTTTGAATTAAAATAATTTTGCCAAAGAATATGGCGCGTATAATTTCAATACCATCGTATGAAATATAAAACAACAAACTCTGTTAATACTTTTTTACGCAACATTTTCTCATGCTTTGTTGAAATAAATTATTTTTCTGGCTTGCTGCATAATGGAAAGTATGGAGAAAAAAAAAAAATACGCTTTGAAAAAAAAAAAATTGCGTTCTGCAAATTTTCGGCACTTTTTTTTCCGCGCCGATTTTCGTAGTAAATTACCGCGATTTTCAAAGTTCATAACGC